AATATCGTGGCTTGTGCTAAACTTGGTGAAGGTGTCACTTACACCACAGTCTGGGGTGACACTCCCTATATGCCAACACCTACGTTCAATGCGTGTCACATTTGAAGCTTACTTTAAGTCTTTTTTATTATATTAAGTATAACATTATTACCATCACCTTACAGCCTCGTCAGAAATAATTGGTATCAGAAAAAAACACTCTTTCTCTGATTTAACAAATACTCACTTAAATATATTTTAGGACTTAAATAAATTGTCCATAATTTTTTTCACAAATAAAAGTCTATGTATTCCAAATAACCGTAACACGTTGGCATTTTGGGTTTTTAACATAAACATACTCTTATTGACTAATTCATACTGAACTTATAGACTTAATTTACACTCGTAATTCTTTAATGGCAATTTGCAATTATTTTAGTAGGAACCTCATATGAAACCATTTTCACTCTAAGAAATTATAAGTCATAGATATTGTGTTTAAAATTAGTTATTTGTAATGAATATAGATTTTTCTGTTATTTATTATTTGTATAAAACCAATCTACAAATAAATTTAAAGTAAATAATACGTTTGTTTAAATGTACTGTCGACCTATACTAATTTAACACCGTTCTTTACTAATTTACAAATATTGACATATTTCACAGAAATCCGGCAACTTTGATGAATTCGGATTAAAAAAGGTTGGATCAATTCATTTTCAATAGCAGGTTTTCGGTTTACGCATACAGTTTGTTCGTCATTGCACTATCACAGATTTAATAGTGTTAATAATATGTGAATAACCAATTAATAAACTATTGATTCATAAAATATTTTAGTTACATATATAATACTAATATTTAGTTAATATTTAAGTACTTTTGTAGCATGTGTTGGAGCACCTGAGCTGACGGTAGTGCTGTCAGTGTATATTATCAGTATATTGTATCAGTGTAATAAGTATGTGACATAAAATTATATTTGTTATTAGAATAAGAATAAGAATAAGAATATATTTATTTCCAAAATTACAAATTACAAAAATTACAATCGTGGCTGTAAAGCGGCCTACACACTACACGTGCATTGCACGCCGTGCAAGCACGTCATGCCAAAAACTGACGAAACGTGCAAGTGTGTGGTGAACACCGTGCAAGCACGGCGTGCATTGGCATGGCACGGTGGAAATCAAGACGAGTTTGATTTTTGGCGTGCCGTGCCAAAGCACGCCATTCTGACGTGCTAGTGTGTAGGTGGTCCCCGTGCCACGTGCTGGTAGTTCAACCACTTTTGACAGGGTTTGACCATCGGTTTGACCCTATAATAGTACTTTCTTATTAGTGAATCAACGGCATTTTGTCTTGGCCATTTGCAACACAGATTAAATACGCATATAGTGGCGTCCCCACCTTAAATAATTATTGATAATTGATAATTGACCATTGATCATTGATCATTGATAATTGGCACGACCATCGAGATTACAATGGATCGCACGCTGTATGTGATGCGTGACCCGAGACGCAGTCATAGATCTCTATATAATATATCATAGAGCATACATCCTCCACCACAGTATTGTGAACCAAGTGCCCTGCCGGCATATATCTGTACGGCAGCGAGGTGCAAGGTCTGGACTAACCTAGGCACTACGGTGGCTTTGTGCTGCTGCCTTGTGTCTATTTTTAATGATTAATCAATTAATCATGTCCAATGTTCTTAAAACATGTGTGTGTTCTGCATTTCATTTGTACGAACAGACGATGTAATTTAGCACGTTGCAGGCTACACTGAAGATCAAGTGTGTGGGCAAAATGTGCCGTGCAAAGCACGTCGTGCCAATATAAAAAATGGCACGGCGTGCAATGCACGTGTAGTGTGTAGGCCGCTTAAAGCAAAGTACAAAGGAAAAAAAAATCCCCACAAAGACTGTACATCTGCGTGTGGGGAGAGTCTTCTCCGTCGCTCACCACTTCACAGACAAGATAACAAAATAAACAAATAATTATTTAAATAAAAAGAAGTATTTTTTTTGCCATATTGTTGGCAAAAAAGACTGAACATGAACAATATTTGAAGTACTTGAATGAGGGTGCCAGTACTGAAGTAGTTTGGTTTATTAGCCTAATTTAGTCTTAGAATCGTCATCGACTTTCATTATGTTCTGTATTGGGATCTGATGAGGTCTTCGGCAGCATCATCGCTCAGACCGAGAAGCCAGCGCCCGATCTTTCTGCTGAAAACCGTGACACTGTCTCCCTCACATTCTCTTATCTGTATGGGGAGATTAGTGCGTATAATGTGGGCTAGATAGTGAGGGGTAAGAAGCTGTGCTTTATTGTTCAATTTGGGAACGGAGATGCCTATATGTGTTCTAGATCTAGTGTCATAAGAATGTAGTGAATCGGAGAAAATTTTGCTTTTGTTATTTTTTGAAAAGGTTATAACTGTTTTTAGGAATAGTTTCCTGATGTTAAGGACTGGAAAATTTTGAAAAAGTAGGTAGGTGGGGTATCTTTGGTCTTTTTTTAGTATGTGTTTGATTATGGATTTCTGGGTAACAGCAAGAGGAGCCAAGACAGAGGCAGACGCAGCCCCCCACGCAAGTATCCCGTACTGTAACAGTGACTGGACATACGCAAAGTATACACACCTGCAATGGTCCACAGACAGCACACAACCAAGCTGTGAAAAAGCGAAGATCATTTTTCTTAATCTGTTGTTGAGATAATCAACATGTGGAGCCCAGCTAAGTTTGTAGTCAATTATGACCCCAAGGTATTTGTAATTTTCGACTTGCTCAATGATTTCACAATGGCACGGCGCTGTCCATGGACCCCCGCAGCCGTGCAACCTGAGTACTCTATGTACTCTATTGTTTAATCATAAGCTGCCTTCGCCCCAAAGCACACCAACACGACTGTCTATGACAGACACATGCAGGCTGGGGATTGGCTGTTGTATTGTGGATGTCAGTGGCAGTCCTACAACGTCACGGTCACGGTCCAAACAAATTGTTTAATCAACGTCAAATCTCTAATTTATATGTCATTGTCTGTTTACACAAAGCTGCCTGACGGGAAGCCAAGTTTCCTTGTATAACTTACAAATATTGAAATGTAGCTAACCGTTTAAATAGTTCACAACTTTCTAACTGGCTCAAAAATGTTAATAATATGAATGTTGCTTTGAAACGTTCGGCTTCAAAAGAGTCTGCGCTTGAGAAACCTCAAGAAAATTTCTTGTATATTCAGTTATTAGGTGTGAGATTTTTAAGTGCAATGCTTTTTAAATTGTTATTTTTTTACTGCTTATTCAAAGTTGACCACTACAAGGCAAAAAAAAATTACGCTTATCTAACCTGGTTTGTATTTATTTTTCATGGTTTTTTAGTTACTATCCTATATTTTAGATTGTTATGATTAGAGTAGTAAATGTAAATTCGTTGCAGATACATGTACTATAGTGGATTTTAGTTCACTAAAGGTAAACCATGTTCTCAAATCATCCCCAAAGAGTTATGGTCTAATATTGACTAATTTAAAAATGGTTTAGAAAAAAACTATAACAGTATAAAAATCTATATATCGATTATTTAAAATAATGAATTCCAATGTTTCCTGGCTAAAAACGTATTCATGACTTTTAATTAACATGCAAAGACTATACATAATTTTTTCACTAAAAGAGAATTGCAAAAACAGTACTTATCTTACTCATTTATTTATAATTGTTCTTTGTACACCTGATAGGGCCAAAACCCTTAAAAAAAGCACATGAAAAGCCAATTATCCCACAAAAGGTCAACCTATGTGGATGAAATATTGTATCGACAATTCATTAATATTCTAACCGTTTCAATGGACAAAACTCATCCATATTTCAAATATTCTCTCTAGCATAACACTGGATATGCCCATTTCGATAACATATTTCAAACAGTATTTTATCTTCATTAACATTGATGATCAATTTAAATAATTTATTATTAATTTTCTATGCATAAATATATGATATTTCGAATGTAAAACTTATTCAAAGGTCAAAGTTATTATTGATTGTATTCGACGGATTTTATATATGTACAGCTAATTTATATTTTACCAATTAAGTTTGTGCTTTAAATAGGCTACGGCTTATTAGCATTTCGAAGAACTAGTTAGTTATAAATCAAATGTGTTGAGAAATTTCATCAAATTATACATTATTCTAAAAATATTTTGCTTGCTGCGAAATGTGTAAAAAAATTGTTCTAAGCATTAAAACAAATGTCGAAAGTATTATACGGTTAATTTACTCTTTACGAATAATTATATTATCTGATAATGTGTATTACTAGGTAAGGGGGTTATTAGAATCTGTGTGCTGTAAAACGGTCATAGAGATTTATGGGCAAGTCATGGCAAAGAGCTTTTTATATGCGGTTTTACATCATTATAAAGATCAAGTTGGCTCGGATAAATAGCAAAAGTATTGAATAGGTCCTTTGAGCGGCGGTGATGGCAATACTACAGCGGTGTGGCTACGAAAGTTCAACAAAAGGTCAAGAGCTTCATTACACTTCATTTCCTTTTAAATTTACTTAAAAACCTTTTCGGTAATTTCCTTAATTTTAATTATTTTCACAGCAAACCCTTATAGCTTTTTACGACGTATTTCCAAACCACTTTCGTTGTGTTTGTTTTTGTTATTATTAAGTTCATAACCCAAGTACTAATGGATTCTATGTTAACACCCAAACGCACATTGAAACAAAAGCTTCTTCAACATTATTTCTGTGTACAACAGTTTTCAATTAGACAACTGGTAATTTTGTAATTAAAGCTATACGCTGACTCCACCATCTATTTTAATCAAATGTTCAAGTTTTATTTAGAAATTACTTGGTGTTCAAATAATTTATTAGGAGGTAAATACTTGTTACACCGAGTTATTTTACCTAAACTTAAAACGGCAAATAACCACAATATCGTGAGATAATAGCTCTACTATCTCAGTGCTAATTGACACTTACATATAGTAGTGGCATGCAGCAGCAGCAGCAGGCATGTGAGGGTATCCAGAGTCGTGGCCATGCTACATCACAGAGCGTTACACGTGACACACGACATGCCGCGGCGACCTGTCGCGTTGTACTGACACTGACGGCGTGCCGCCCCCTACCACCCCTCCACCCCATTGCTACCCACCCACCCTACAACACAACTGCAACTGTTTCTTGAATAAGTAACTTACGCGTAATTGTGTTAGGAGCCACGCAACTATGCGAATGGTTTGATTAGTAAACATTGCTACTCATTCGTTAACTTTGAGTTTTAAATATATCCATATAACCAAAGTAACCCATTATTACCATAAAATACCAACTCAAACCAACCCATTGCTAAGTAAATATATATGTTTACATAATGTTTAATACGCCATGTAATGTTACGCCATGTACATGTAATGTATGTATACGCCAGGGACATATGTTTTTATGCTGCCTTGGAAATCAGTTGAAGGCAACTATGGTATCTTAATAGCCAGTATCTCGTGGGTAGCATTACTTAGTTATTAGAGATTTTACTATATTTTTTTGTATTTAGGTTTGTATTGTATAGTGAATATAAAAAACAATACGTGATTCACGTACCAAAAAACACCCCGCCGCAGCAAACCTGCCGACTAAGCGAATTTCCATTTGTCTGAATTGATTTTCAATTAAATCTATTTCAATAACGTTATGTTTAACGAGTACCTAGGTTTGCTGCTACAAGGAAACTAATAGTGTTTTTTTTAGTAAAATATTAATAGCTTAGAATAAAATAAATAGATTTGCCAAGTTTGATTGAAATATATCAATAAACATATACAAGCAAACTACAACCCTTTACAATATTCTCCATAAGAACAAAATGGAAATTTTAAATTTAATTTTTTTTTCCCCGTTACCAATAACCATAAAAAACAGTTTTATATACTAAATTATTTGTTTTTTAATCTCTTTAGGTCTAAAAAGAAACTGGGAAATTTTGTTTTTTGAGGGTCAAAAATTAGAAAAACTATTTTTTACCCCATCAAACCACTCGTAAAACCTTGTCCCCATGGTCCGATCATGCTGGTTCGCGAACCTATGAAAGTTTATCCCGCCTTACACCTTCAAACCAAATTTCATCAAAATCGGACAAAAATTACTCAAGTTATTCTGTTCACGGACTTGTATATATATTATTACTAGCAGAATATCCGTCCTTCGTACGGGGTTGGCGTATAAGTATAACATGCTTATTGCAGTTATACTAATGCTTTGTGTTTGCAATGGAAGAGGACACGGTTGGAGAAAATTTGGTTCTTTTAATTTACGGAAGCTATAGAACACATACACCATAGCCATAATGCTCTACCACTACACCAAAAAAAAAAAAAAAAAAAAAGTAAATGGTCGAATATTCGCACGATATTGAAACATTATTTATAAAAAAATTAACTTGTAAACAATCCTACTTTTACAGTTCGCATTGTGCATCACAGCTTTTTGTTGCGGCTTGGTTAAAATTAGTTATCCTACTAATATTATAAATGAGAAAGTTTGGATGTATGGATGTATGGATGTATGTATGTTTGTGACAAGTAAACGCGAAAAATACTGGTCTGATTGGGCTGAAATTTGGTATGGTGATAGCTCACATTCCCAATTAACATATAGACGCATTCTTATCTCAAAAGTCCTTTCGGGCTCCGCCCCAGTGGCTCTGGAGTTTCCCATGTTAACCTTTTGTGTAATAATTTTAAAGGAATAAAATAATTTTTGTCAGCTGTTTCAGCTACACAAGTTAATTCTATGATATTGAAAAGCATTAAAAAGTTACAAGGCTTACCAACAGGGTGCAGTACTATTATTTTTTACATTTATGACAAAGGTTAAATTTTGTTTTTAAAAGGCTTATGTGTAACTATTTTATCAACAGATGTAAAGATCAAAATGTTTCAATTTCGTGTTCTCTTCCCGTTGCAAAGCACGGGTACAACAGCTAGTGTTGTCATAAATGAAAAAATAATAGTGCTGCACCCTGTTGGTGAACCTTATAGCTTTTAATAATATCATAGAATAACTTGTGTAATTGAAACAGCTAAAAGAATTCTTTAATCCTTTAAATATGAATACTCATAAGGTTAACATGGGAAACTCCAGAGCCACTGGGGCGGAGCCCGAAAGGATTTTTGAGATAGGAATATGTCTATATGTTACTCGGGAATGTGAGCTATCATAATACAAAATTTCAGCCCAATCCGAGCAGTAGTTTAAAGCGTGATTGAACTTCAAACAAACAAACAAATAAACGAACAAACAAACACACAAACTTTTACATTTATAATATTATTAAGATTATTATATAAATATATAAAAATTAAAACAAATTGTGTTTTTGGCCTCTGGGGACATCAAAATGAAAAAGTAAATCGGTCCCAGGCCTACATCATACCATGCCATCATAAATTTGTGAGATATTCCCCCCCTCCCCCCTGGAACTTAATTTTTTTTAATAGCAAGGTACCCCTTGTGACATATCAAAAGAAAGAGCATGAAAAAAAAAATTTTTGTGAAAAAAAATGTAAAATTGGCTCATGAATTTGTGAGATAATCCCCCCCCCTTTTCCCCTACCCATAACTTGTTTTTTAATAGCAAGGTACCCGCCCTTGTGACATATCAAATGAAAAATAAATTTCACCGAAAATTTTCTTAAATTTTTTTAAAAAATTTAGTGATTAAAAAATTTTCTTGCTATTAAAAAAAATTAAGTTCTGGTGAGGGGAGGAATATCTCGCAAATTTATGAACCGATTTTCAATTTTTTTCATCAAACATTTTCTTTTTTCATGCTCTTTCATTTGATATGTCACAAGGGGTACCTTGCTATTTAAAAAAAAATTAAGTTGGTGGCAGGGGCGAAAGGGGGGAATGTGAATGTAACGACAATAATAGGTTTTTTACATACCTCAGTCAAATAGTCCAAAAATGGTATTGCTCAACAGCTTACATGTTTCGTTGCGAAGACAACATTATCAAAGCTTGCAACTCGTCAAAAACACATTTAAAACACGAACACGAACACAGAAGACATTAATACGGTACGAATACACAACTGACATTTAGATAGCGCTATCATAATACTTAGTACTACTTAGTAAAAAACCTATTATTGTCTTAACAATATAGTCCAGGGGCCGAAAACATGAATTTTGGTGAATGTAACGTTGAATTCAAAACAATCGGGCCCCCTACGTCAATAGATGATTCCCGCAAACTGCATATTTCTATCTATTGCGGTTTTTACATAAATAATGATGCAAGTGTTAAAAAAACACCCTGTATATACAAGTATAAAATTCTCGTGGACACTTATAAGTTACAAATTTGATATAATACTCACTTCTATCATCCTTGGAAATCAGTTGAAGGCAACTATGGTATCTTAATAGCCAGTATCTCGTGGGTAGCATTACTTAGTTATTAGAGATTTTACTATATTTCAACCAAATAGAAAACTCGTTAGCTTTTCCTCTTGTATTTTTATTAAACATTAAAGCACATAAGGTACATGAAACATACACCAAAGATATACCATAATTCAACAGTTAATTAAATGTGACACTTTTAACCCTACGCTTTTAATCAATCTACAATACGTAGAAACAATCACTTGGTATCATGTGGGAATTAATGCATAAAGGCCTAACTCAATACATTAAAATTTGTCAAAAGAGATAATTAATAAGTAATCAATTTTATAGAGGGCCGTTAATTTTCATGCGAATGTGAGTGCATTTAAACAATAATGCACGCTAATGTTCAGTGGTGGCTAAAATAAAAATTTTATTAAATAAATAAATAATAAATAAAAATGCCTTTTATTAGCAAGCCCTCCTCAGTACAAACTGTTTTACAGGATGACTCTTGTCAAGTAACTAATCCTAACTTAAAACTAAAGACAAAACAAAAATACTGATCCCCCTATTAACAAGATTTTAGCTATTTACAAAAATACATTTTCTTTAGCCTAGATCTAAAAGCTGGGACACCCAGCATCTTCAGGTCACAGGGGAGGTCATTGTACATTTTAGGCCCAAAGAACGAAAAACCTCTCTTTCCTACTTCCAACCTCACCTTCGGGAAATGAAGCTTTTAGTCTTGTCGGGTATTGCGCTGAGACACCCGATCGCGGGTGACCAGTCTTTCAATGAGGTACGCTGGTTCCTCTTCGGCCAGTACCCTGTGTACCAGAGTGCAGGTTTGCCTCCTGCACACAGCAGTTGAGGACAAGAGGCCAGCAGTTCTTTCAAATTGAGAAATATGGTCTCGTTTCCGAAGACCATATACAAATCTCACTGCGGTGTTCTGCAGTCTTTGGAGCCTGTCCATGTCCTCCTTTGTGATACTATTGCCGTATGCAGGAAAACAATAGTACAGCACTGACAATACAGTGGATTGAATAAACTGAATCTTAGCTGACTCAGGTAGGATGGTTCGGCATTTGTACAGACCCCGCAGTCTACCCAACGCCAGCTGGGAAACATGAGTGATGTGATCAGAAAAAGTAAGACCACTGTCCAGAATCACACCCAAAGTCTTAGCAGTGTGGCTCACCTTCAAATCCCTCTGATCAAGTTTAACCTGCACGTCTCCATCAATTATCCTTTGGACAACATTGGGTGGAGCAATGTGGAGAACTGTGCATTTTTCTCCATTTAACTTGAGACCATGTCTCATTGACCACTCACTGACGTTCGCCAAATCTGAGTTTACCCTCGCAACAGCCTGGTCAATTGAATTGACATCATAGGATAAATGCAACTGACAGTCATCAGCATAGGCGTGCACATTGCAAAAGTGCACGCTACTGGAAAGGTCTGCAGTGTACAAGGTGAATAAAATGGGACCCAGACAGCTCCCCTGCGGCACCCCCCTGACTTTGTCAAGAGGAAGTGAGACATCAGCTCCCACTCTAGTCACCTGTTCTCTTCTCTCCAAGTACGACTGCACCCAAGCAATTGCATTATCCATAAATCCAAGATGTCTTAATTTAGCGAGAAG